TAGTGGGGTAGAGACAGCAGAAACTAATAAAAAAAATAGGTGGGGGGATAGACAGCCTGTCAGATAGATGGAGTACCATGGGGGAAGTCAGGGTGAGACGGAGACAAAACCAGAGGGATAAACGGACTGAAAGAAGCGAAGACGTGCAGCTCTGCCGTGAGTGTCTATTTGTGAGGAATGCAGGTTTGAATTTAATCAGGCTAATCCATTACAGGCAGACGGCCACAGCCCTCACATCACATGTCTTCAAACCAAACCTAACCACCATCCCGTTAATGCCAGGTTTCATTGTGATATCTTATCCCATATAATGTGACAACATGTCTACAAAGTAACAGTTTCTTTTTTCCTGGTCAACAACAGAAGAAATATACAATAGCAATATATAATATATTTTTTTTTTGTAGCCAAGACTTTAGGTTTTTGCATATAGAGAACTGACTTGGAAAAAAAAAAAAACATTTCTCAGAAATATTCACTTTAGTAAAAAATGTGCCAACTAGCCCCGATCTCCCCTATTGGAATACATGACTGCTAGTTTAGCTTTCTGAGTATTCAATACACTAATAGCTCACATACATCTCTAAGACATCTATTTAAAGTCTGTTTTCATCTGGAATTTGCCATTTTTAGAGTGTTTGCATCTTCAGTCCATTGCCATATTTTACCTGATGGATGTCAGAATAGCTTTCTGTGACACTTCTGATCTTAAATCCTTTTTAAGATGTTTGTACACAAATATGGAGCTAGAATACAACATAATGCTCTCGAAATGATTCTCTTTCATGTATCGCGGTATATATGCTTACTGGGATATTTAAGATTTCACACATTGATGGTGACCACGGGACGATCTGCGGTGAAATTCACAGGTCACTAAATAAACCAAATAACATAACAGCTTCTGATTACGCCATTTATCTAGAGAAGAAAGACAAAGACCCCCCACACACATACACAAACCCAGAGAAATGAAGACAGTCATCTGTGGCATAGGGTGCACACTACACTGGCAAGCCCTGGGCGAGCATGTCTCTTGATATTAGCAGAATGCAGTAAGGCCATGCATTCTCTCCATAACATGACTCCCAGGCTTGTAATTAAGTGGGACATGGCAAAACAGCCGGCAGCATGAAGGGAGGCTGACCTGGAAACCACGCTGTGTCCAACAGGATGATGCAAGAGACTTAAAAAACACATACAAACAAACAAAAAACAAGAACATGATGCTTCAGTAATTGGCTTCAAGCAGCATGTCTTTAGATTAAAAATGATGGCTGCAGCAATAACAGTAATAAATGCACAGAAGTGTGAGTCAGAGGTGAAGAAGATGGCCTTTGCTGAATGAAAACACACTTTGAATAGCCCTATCCATCACCCTGCCGAGACGACGCCACCTCCTTTATTTCTCGTTCAATTACATGAGGATGAAGAGATCTCACTGCCGTTATTGTTCAGATAATGGTTGTTGGGAAAAAGAGGTAAAATCAATAGTTAAAGCCCAATGTCCTTTTCAAAGGCTGCAATGTAAAGGGATTTTGTAAGGCTGAATGTCACGTTAAAGTCTTTTATTTTGTCTTTTAGTAACTATTTGATTTCTCCACTTGGATTTGCAGGTGACAATGTAAAATAACATCAAATAATAATAATAATATATGATATATAATTACATAATGTATTAAAATGGTTAGAAATTACACATTTTGATTCATATATTTTCTTTACTGTATATACATCAGATACTGATCTGTCAAACATTGCTGTTCAAAATGCTGCAAGATTTTTCTCATGTTTTTGAAAGGTTTTTAGGCTCAACAAGGCTGCATGTATTTGATCAACAATACAGTAAAAACAAAAATATTGTGAAATATTATTACAATTTAAAATAACTCTATTGTATTTGAATACATTTTAAATGTATTTTCTTCCTGTGATGACAGTCTTTAGTGTCACGTGATCCTTCAGATGTTGATTTTGTGCACAATAAACATTTCCTTATTATGATCAATGTCTATTCTTTTAAGAATAGAACATTCAAAAGAACAGCATTTATTTGAAACAATTAATCAAATAAAATTAAAACATTTAATGCATTTTTATGCTTTTTTTTTTTTTTGCTGAATAAAAGTAAAGAAAAAAATCTTACTGATCCCAAACTTTTAATCAGTATTGTAAGTACGGTATGTAATTTTTTTGTATAATGTATAATGTCATACATTATTTATGCAATTTCACTTAACTTATACTTTGCATAAATTACATACTTCTCCCTATGTTAAGTAACTTATTATACAAGTTATTATAAAGTACTCCCCAAAATAATTAACTAAATTTTTGCCCTTCCATAAAACAAATAATCTTCCTTTTCATATAACTTCCAGTTTATATGCTAATTTTATCAATAAACATCCTTTGCAGCGGCCAGCTGAAAGCTTAAAAGCACATTCTTCACCAAAAAGGACACCAGATATCTAAATATCCTTTAAGCTTTTATATAGTTAAAAGGTAAAGAGGTAGAATATGCATTATAATAGAGTCCATAAAGGATGAGACCAATGATGCTGGTCATCTGCGCAGAATGGATCAACACTGCTCAAGACAGCGTCCCCTACAAGCATGAGACTGAATGAGGCTAAAAATCCAGTGTAATAAATGAATCCAAAAACTCGAAGAAACCCCTTAAGCCCTACCCCTCTCTGTTATTGGCCAGACCAAACTCACACTATTGGTTGACATGTTAAATAAATGAATGACAGCTTTGATGTTCATAGTCAACCTATAGAATGCACACTCATATCACATTAAACTGGAAAAAGTATTCCATCAAGGAAAAATGATGCAAATTTATTGAGAAAAAAATACAGAATGTGACAACAATTTTTTTTTTAAAGAAAGTGCTACGAAAACAAAATCAGTCAACAGAAATTGTTTTTGCAATTTGCAAACCAATTTTACTTTTTTAACTGAGAATCAAAAAAAATATCAAGAAAGAAAGAAAAAAAAAGAGAAATACGTTATTTTGATAATAAAAAATTATAATTTTTGTAATGATTTGTGCACAAAAAGACTAGGAAAGCAAAAAGCAAAGTATATAAGGCTATGGGATGGTAGCAGATACTGCAGAGGTGACAGACCCTGTCTGAACTATGCAACATCGACTCAGGCTTTGCAACCTTCAGGTCCAGGCAGGCTGAACAGGGACGTCTGGAGGAAATGACCCTTAACTTACTGTGACTGGCAGAACCCAGTCAGGTACGGAGGCTGCCACAGCATGTGTGTGCCATATCCAGCTCACACACCTTGGTGCCTCCCAGGATAATATGCTGCTCTAATGAGGCATAAAATCTCTGGACAAGCAAGGCCATTTTTGCCTGCTAACACCACAGCAACACAGAAGCACAAGGTTGACGGTGAGCTGTGGAGAAATCTTTGGCGTGGTTCCTATGATATCCGCAGGCCTGTAGAGTGACTCAACAAATTCCCATGAAGAGACGATGCTCTTGAGATTCTCTTTTGGGTAAATGAGAATACTTTCCCACACAAATGGAGAATAAAGAAAGCTTAGGTGCATTTTTGTAGAAAACAGATAAATATCTTAAACTTAAAGATATAGTTCACTCAAAAAGGAACATTCTGTCATAGTTTGCTCACCTTCATATCATTTCAAACCTGTAAGAGATTCTTTCTTCAGTAAAAGTCACATTTTTGCAGAATAGCCCATACTTTTCAATATAATAAAAGTAAATGGAACTATAAAATACACCATAAAACTACCCCAAAAGTGTCTAATGACTAATGGCACAGGATTTGATTTGAGAGCAACCAAGAAGTGGAAAATTATTAGTCAAGAGTAGCTTAAATTTCACAGAGCTATCGCAAGGCTTCAGAAGATTGGTAATAGAGCCGCATGAGTCATGTGGACTTTTTAATAACTCTTTTATGGTACTTTTCTGTCACTTTGGTGCTTGACAAGCCCAGTCCCCACATGGAAAAGAGCAGCCAGGACATTTGGAATGCGATGAAGATGAGTAAATAATAATACAAAAAATGTACCAGTTTGACATTTGTTAAAATGTACAATGGGGAAGAATGACGGGAAACAATGGTTCAACTAACAGAAGCTGGATTCAAACTCACATTGTTAACCGTTAGGTCAAAGATGAAGATTGTATAGCTCAGACATTGCTCTTTTATAGCTCAGATTTATTCAGCTCAGATCTATTTGCACAAGGGAAAAAATGGTTTGTAAAGAAGTGAGGCTGACAGTTATTGCTTCCACAGTGGCAAAGTTAGTGGCCAGTCCTCCTGAAAAACAGACTCAAATGCAGTCACGATATCTAAACTCTCTGTTCGCACACAAACAACACACTGACCTGAGACTGGGAAACAAACTGCTACATGAAGGTCACTGTATTGAAGTCACGTCAAAACAACATATTAACCAAGTATCCCGGAGCCTGATATTTCTTCTCTTGACAACCTGAACGACACGCAGGGAGCCGAATAATTCACAGGCATCTCTGGCAAATTAGACTGAGGCCAGATCATTTATCCTGCAAGTAATCCAAATCATTCCTCACTCTGTGATTCCTATTCATTGGGAAGAAAGATGACTCAGACATTTTAGCATTGCAATAAGTGACTCTAAACAATCCTAATAGAGATTAATAGAGAGGCTAGACGTTCAGAGAATTACGTGATGAACGTTGTAGGAGATACGGAAAGCTGCAAATCGAGGCATTACGCTGTGTAAAACCGACAAGGGGAGATCTCTTAATCAACTTGACGGCACAAAATCTGAATTTTTATGTAAACTGCGATCACAGTGATTAGAAAAACTATGGATTGTGAATGACACATCATAAAGGACGTGTTGACAGCTGTCAATATAATGGTGGATTCAGGTGTTGGATGAATAAAAAGCAACAAACAGGAAGCCATAGGAGACTCTAAACTGCAACGCAAACCTAAACGCAACGAAATGAATGGCTCCACCTTACCTGTCATTCTCCGCGCTCTTGAAGCCCGGTAAGATGTTCCTGAAGCTGCTGTGGCGGTCGAGCTTCGGCTGGCTTTTGGTACGTTTAATGGAACTCTTCAGTCTGCGACTTAGGAAGCCCTGGACAGGAAGTCAGAGGAAAGGACTGGATTACATTCACAAATTCATTAACCACTGGAGCAGCTGCATGTGGAAACCAAAGCTCGTCTTTTTCTCTTCTATCTGTTCGTTCCTCCCTCTCGCTCTCCTCTCATCTGTAGCGTTTGGTTGCGCCGTGCATAGCTGCGCGATTGGTGCGGCACGCACATCTGATCGCAGTACTGAACTGAAGGAGCTTCACTGATGTGATACTCCCCTCAAAGCCGCTGTTACCATGGAAACTGTTGGCTGGCATGGAAAAGGGGGGGAAAATATTGGTGCACTGCAAGTTCATATAGGGCGAGAGCTGAGCTGGCGCTTTTCAGACGCTGTACAGATTAGGACAAGATTAAAAGGACTTGAATTATTCCTGAAAAACTCCAGTCTGTCTGAGTGGGATGCTTGCAACACTGAGAAGGGCAAAATCATGCATTTCTCAGGCATGTAGATGCAATTAATGAGTGGGAAATGTGAATCAAGGCCTCATGCATGAAGTGAATAAATGGCTGCTTGATCTTAATAAAACACTTAGTGCCTGTTGTTGCACAACAACCGCTTAAGGGGCTAACATGAATGAACAAAGAACGGCACAAATTCTGCTGAAAGGACTAGTATAGTTAGTATAGTTTAGCTAGACTAGTATAGAAGCATCATGCCTACTGAGGGTATACATGACCCTTCAGAATTTTGAATATATTTATTTTTGGAAGGCAATTTCTGGAAGGAATGAAATCAATGATTAATTAATTAATACAAAAATTTGTATATAAATATTGATATAAAATATGTAACATTTATATTTATTTTATATTAATATATTTTAGTATATATTTATTATTTATATAAAAAAAGTTGGTTTGGGTCAGCTTTAAGATATCTTATCAAAAAAACTTCAAAGTATATTTTCCCCCTCGGGTGTAATCTACATTTTTTAGCTCTTTGTTTTTTTCGGGGCAACTTTCCCATGAAATTTGCCGTTTTGCCAAACTTCCAAATGGAATTATTCATCGAGCCTGTCAGAGTGAAGGAAGAGCGCTGTTTGATGATGCTGTTGTTTGGAAGAGAAGTACAACTGGAGGCTGCAGCCGCAGTCTGGATCAATGACAGTCTGAAGAGCTCAACTCCTGAAACACACTCCAGCTGTGCAGTAACTCTGCATCTTTCAAATTTAAACAATACGCCAAGATGCATTTAAGGCCAAATCTACATGCATCACATGCATTTCATTACAAAGAATTTTGGTCACTAATTTATTCTGCAATTCTACAGATAGAAGTGAATAAGAATGATTTGTTTTCTACAGAATTATGTTTCGTGCCCTCCAAAAAGTATATAAAAGTAAAATTTTTACTACAAAACATATTTTGTGTGTGAAGCCTGATGTTAATTTAGTATAATTAATGATTTCTGTACAGGATCATGTGACACTGCAGACTGGAGTAATGGTAGGATAACACCCTATTCTTAACCAAACATATGCTGTTATGTTGGAATCATGTCTCAGTAATAAGCTGTCAGTTGTCAAAAGGCTGAAGGTCTGCAGATTCCTTCACGTCTATTGTATGCATGTACTGAATTCCTGTAATGCTTAGCAGCTGAGCCTGCATTTCCAACCTCCTCTCACCCCCCTACTTCTCCCCCTTCTCCTGTAATCTTTATGCTTGGCCTCTCTCTGCCCTCTTGTGTCCATGCCTGTGAGTTTGTGTCTGACAGCTTTAATTGTGCTGACAATCCTAGACATGGCGTGAAACATTTTGAAGCCGATAGACGTAGATTTGAAGGCCCTGTCTGGATTTGTATTACCTGGTCCCTACTTTGTAAGACAGGAGAAGTCTAAGCCCTGTCCTGACCCGCACACGGCACTGTTAGGATGTTAGTCACACCACAGCTAGTAAAGAAAAGATCTGGGGTTCTGTTGAAAAACCTTGTGAGATGTCTACAGTATACAGTGTGTGTGTGCTATGTGTTTTAATACCAAACAATTTAGTAGCTAAACAATTAATATTATAAGCCTTAAGTGTCAAGGCCATATTGTTCACTTTTGAGGAATGTGGAGTCAAGTTACAATGTTAGTGAAGGTTTTGTTTACTAAAATAGTCATAGAATTTTCCAGTTACATATCAAAATTTTTTTTGAAATAAATGTACAAAGGTAAAAAAAAGTATTACAAATTAAATAAATAAATGAACATGATTTTTAAAACACAGCAAAATGTTTTACAAGTTAAAAAGAAAAACATTTTACAATTTTTTTTTGTAGTGTAGGCATCATGTTAAATCTCTTCAGCGGGTCCTTTATTGGGATAAACCACTATTCCTCATTCCCTGAAATTGTGTCTAGACAAGTAACAAGCCAGTCCTGTTATAACCAGTGGAACTGAGATATGTTTCTTGCCCTTATTGTGCCAATGCACCAAGGTTACAAGATAAAAATTCCTGGAAGACATCTAATTTAAAATGAAATATTTCAAGAGGCCCCTTATGCCAAGACTTCCAGATGTCTCCTTATGCCAAATGCACACTACAACGTTAAAGATCCCCATCCTACACGCAATTAAAAACTCAGTTTAGCAAATTGGTTATCTTGTTTTAAAAATAAAACTAACAAATATTTGATTAATTAGAAAGAAAAGTAGTGAAATACACTCAATTTGTCAAGGATAGCACAATAAAGTTAAAAACTTGTTTCCATTGTGGTCCTTAATGTTAAGCACACACTTCACTCCTGGTAACAGATACTGACATTGCATTATAAATAAAGAAATGTCAATTTACCCTAGAAAAAAGGCATTAAAATATGAAGGAGCTCTATTATTGATAATCTTATGTACCATTTTTAATCTAATGTGTTCTATTCTGGTTTCTGTAGGTAACCAATGAAGATGCTTACAATAGAAAACATAAACGTGTAAAACGACTAAACCTTAAAACTAACCATATCAATTTATTTTGAGATTTTTGTAACCAAACAATTTTTCCAACCAAGTAAATTTATCTTGTTTTAAGTTTTTTTTTTTTTTTTTAATACATCTTCACTGGAAAATAAGAAAAAAATGCTTCTCAAATTATTATTTTTTTTTTTGCAGTTTTCACTGCTCTGACAATGCATTTGACACCTATGACCTCTAGGACAACAGTAGCCAGTGACAAAATGTGCAACAAAATATGTTTTCCATTGTGAAAACAAGTTCTTTGGGTTCAGTCTTCCATGAAGGCACTTAGCATAACAGACGTTATAAAACATGAGAAACATGTTATCTCTCAGATAACAACTGAACAAGACTCCCGACTGCGGCGAGCCTCTGCGGCGAGCCTGAATGAGTCTGAGCATCTGCTGAAACAATACATTTAATGTCATTATCTGTTGTTCGCAGCCAGACAGTCTAGCCTGAGCCATAATGCAGAGGAGTCCATGGTCTGAAGCTGCCTGCTCTGCACGAGAACCATTGGCCTGTGGGGAAATCCGTAACCCTGGGTTCCTAATGATCACGTCTACATACATCACCAGAGCAAGGTATTGGATTTCTCCCAGGGCTCTCAAAGTGGTCCACACAGCAAGGGGGCGCACTATTGCCCTTCCTCCTTCTGTTCCGACAAGCCTGGGATCCTGTTCAATTAGCGTGGATCCGGTTCGGCGTACTCACACGAAAGGCTCTGTATCACCGGCGACAGCAGGACTCTCTTGTGTCCTCACAGGAGCCAAATACACAACTCATCGGCATGCACAAGGGGCGTTCACGTTCAATTTTTTTAAAAAAATGGTATTTCCACTACAGAATGGAAATGACACTGTGGTGGAAATATTCATGACTTTTAGAAAAAAACTTATCCAATGATGTACACGGTTATACTGTTGGACATTGTTAATGGACTAAATAAATAAATAAATGCTGTAAATACATAATAGTGAGAGTGTGAAAAGAGTAAAAAAAAAGTCCAAAGGGAGCCATAGTTGAAGAAACACCCATATATGAATTATCCATTTGTTTAATCAATATTGTTATTTTTAATTGCTATACAGATAAAACTGACTTGACTAAATTACAACATAGACTGCAAGTCATATTGAAGCGAAAGTTCAGTAAAAAAGTTAATCAAATCCATAATAGCTGGCTTAATCAATCAATATGATACTGTCTCCATGGTAACCTGTCCCAATTGGGTTGTACGCCAGCGGTACAGTATTACAGGATGGACACATTTTTACGCAACACCTCATCAACTCTGCAACCTACTTCACCGTGAGGGGCACGAGGGGATAATCTTGCCCTTCTCAGGAGGGTGTGCAACAAGAGCAGGGAAGCATGGGTACCGGTGCTGCCAGCTGTGCCTGTGGCTTTTCCACATCGCAGCTAAATGCAGTAAGACTCGCGACCCATCTGTCTCATTTACAGCACGCATCAACCAGGACTGATTGCATCTCCTCCAAGGACTGCTCCCCATTAGACGCCCATTGAGGTCTATAAAGCGATAGCTTAACTCTATCAGGATGCCTAATCCTTCTCTCCTCTCAGGCTGACCCGAGGATTCAGAGCCAGCTGTGGCCGTGTCGCTCACTTATCTGCGAGCAGAGTCATTAGGACCGGTGCTTCTCGCCCTAGGCAGGAAGTGCATAGTGCAGCAGCGATGACATGCCGTCTCTCCTCAGGGTGCGTGATGACACTTGCTTAGCAACAACTGCTGGGATTAACTTTGTACCAGAGTTCAATGAACTGCGGTCTGCAGTTTGTCTACAAGTGCAATCCGGTGTCCTTTGCTCCACTAATCTCGGTAAACAGAATCTGTCATAAAAGTCAGTAAAGCTGTATGTGTCACGCTACGACTATTATCCACAGTAAACACTTTCTATGTTGTAAAAGGCAATGTGACCTGTAAGTGCATCCCTAAAGTGTCATCTTTAGTAAGGCACTTATTCACAGGTTCCTCCGAAGGGACTAAACCTGTAATCAGAGTACTGTAAGTCATCAAAAAGTAAAATGTCTGGGTCATTCTTTTAATGCACTAACTTTCAAAGTTTGTAACTTTTAAAAACAGATTTTTGTGCTGTTGTTGTCCATGCCAAAAATGATGTCATTTCCTAGAGAACGGGCTGCCACTGACAGTGTTGTTATTGTTAACTAATCGATTAAAAATCATTTTTGAAAGTTGAAATAAAATATAAATAGTAGATGAAAAACTTAAATGAAAAATATGAACATTGACTTGGCAACTAACTCAAATATGTAAGTTGTAGTAAAATTAATTGAACTAAAATACTAGTTATAGACAATATAAGACAAATAAAAAATGACAAACGCATATGAAAAAATTACTAAAACGTCAAATTTAATTATTAAAAAAATACTAAAAATTAAAATGAAAACTGAAAACAGACTAGTTAAAAATATAATAAAAAATTAAAATGTAAAAATAATCCAAAGAAAAATATGTTTTGTTTGAAATCTTCACTTGACCCTCCAACACTATTCTATTTCTGTTTTATCTACTTGTTTTTCTTTTTCTTTTAAAAATACCTTGACCCTCTGACACTTGCGCTATCTATTCTATTTCTATTTTAACTACTTGTATTCTTTTTTTATTTATTATAAAAAAAACTTGACCCTCTAACACTTGCACTCTCTATTCTATTTCTATTTTAACTACTTGTATTCTTTTTTTATTTATAATAAAAAACTTGACCCTCTAACACTAACACTCTCTATTCTATTTCTATTCTACCTACTTCCGTTTTATTTATTAAAAAAACCCTCAAACACTAGCACTCTCTGTTCTATTTCTATTCTATCTACTTGTTTTCTTTTTATTTATTATTAAAAAATTGACCCTCTAACACTAGCGTTCTCTATTCTTTTTCTATTCTATCTACTTGTTTTCTTTTTATTTCAAAGTTTCTTTTTTTATTTATAATAAAAAACTTGACCCTCTAACACTAACACTCTCTATTCTATTTCTATTCTACCTACTTCCGTTTTATTTATTAAAAAAACCCTCAAACACTAGCACTCTCTGTTCTATTTCTATTCTATCTACTTGTTTTCTTTTTATTTATTATTAAAAAATTGACCCTCTAACACTAGCGTTCTCTATTCTTTTTCTATTCTATCTACTTGTTTTCTTTTTATTTCAAAGTGTTTGCAGTTTGTTTTATTTTCAAACCAAAGTGGTGAAATTATTTAAAATTCACTCCATGTTGACATAATGTGAAGATTGTTTTTAAAGAATTATGCATTTAATATTTTATCTGACATATTAAGGCATTTATGAAGTGTACAGCATAATATGAATGACCATCTAATGTCAAACTGAATCACATTTTGAAATTCAACTCCAAGCTCAGAGAGATGTTTAAATCCTCTTAAGGTTGTAAACGTACTATTTTTATCTGTGCTGCTGTCATAAGTGCGTACCGTGACTTTAAAAGGTGTTGACGTTTCTGCATCCATAGCGCCCACCGTTTTGTCCACTGTACTGCCAGGCATACTGCGCCGCCGGCCCACCCTGTCAGTGAGAGACCCTGAGAACAGACAGACAGAGACAGAGAGAGGAATCAGAGAGTGATGACTGGATTTATGTGTATGTAACCTGCCAAGAGCTGTTCTAGGATCAGATTTCCCCTAGGATAAACAAACCCACCAAGTGAACAAAACAATCAACCATCAATAACAGAACTGGAAAACCTGAAGAAAGGTGTTCATCATAATCTCATCTTCATCTTGTTGCTTGCTAAGATCTAAATAAGTTGCTAGTATGTTTTGGATGGTTGCTAGGGGGTTGCTATGCTGTTTCTAGGTGTGGGGTTATTCAGCACATTGCTATGTGGTTGCTATGGTCTTTTGAGTGGTATTAAGCATGTTGCAATCTGGCTGCTTTAGCAGGTGCCTTATTGGCTCAAGTCAAAAGGCCCACCCATAACTCTGTATGATGAGCTGCTTCTGTAGCAGGGTCACTATGTCAGTCACAGCCTGCATCAGCCTGTCAGACTGTGCTTGGAATTCAGCACACGCCTGCATCTCTGTCTGCACGATTGATGGAGGGAAGGAGGGAACAAGTGTTTGTGCGGACAACAAATGAGAGAGAGAATGCAGCCATCCTGAAAGACAAGATCTATGAAATTCATCTCTCTCTTTGCACAGTCTGAATCATGTCAAACTCAAAACAAAGTGGAGGAAGGGCTTCTTTGCCTCGCTGGTTTTGTACTTGGAAAGAAACGTTACTAACAAGATCTGGAACCTTTTGTGTGTGTGTGTGTGTGTTATTTCTGACAGCACTTTTCTTGTGCCTGAATTGGTTATTCGAATAAAAAAAGTTTTCTATTCTACAGTGTAAAAAATATCATGTTACATAAAAAAAAAAAACACATCTGTCAGCTGTGGTTGCCCGAAATTCCCTGTAAAAAATACTGTGACAATGTTTCCAGTGTTAAAACATGCCTGTATATTTTACAAATTGTTAATATACCTATATACTCAACCGACAAATATCTGCTTTTTGCCATAAAAAGCATCAACACCTATCATAATAATACAGGTGAAACAACAGAAAGCAACATGATGAAACAGAGTTCAGCGTAAATGTGTTTTAGTTAATACTTGTTTTCTTTTTATTTGCACAAAACCTTGACCCTGTAACACTTGCACTCTCTATTCTGTTTCTATTCTAACTGCTTGTTTTCTTTTTATTTATTATATAATAAACCTTGACCCTCCATCACTAGCACTCTCTATTCTATTTCTAACTACTTGTTTTCTTTTTATTTATTATATAATAAACCTTGACCCTCCATCACTAGCACTCTCTATTCTATTTCTAACTACTTGTTTTCTTTTTATTTATTAATAAATAAATGAATAAATAATTGACCCTCTAACAATAGTGTTCTCTATTCTGTTTATATTCTATCTTCGATCTACTTTTTAAAAAAATTTATTATAAAAAATGACCCTCTAACACTAGCATTCTCTATTCTTTTTCTATTCTATCTACTTATTTTCTTTTTATTTATTATTTAAAAAAACTTGTTACGTGCACTGTATTAGACTAACCAGGACTTGTCACAGCATTTACATATTATTGGTCTTTTGTTGGTTTGATTGCTTCTATTGTCCTGCTAAATGACTAACTGTAAAAGTAAATGGCCTGTCTATAAAACACGGACAATGATTATGCATAGACGGTGCACAGGATAACAAACGGCATTGAAATAATGCAATAAACATGAAATAAATAACAAAATGTAACACAAAACACCCTAATGTACATCAGGGCTGTCAAAATGGCTGAAAAACTAAATTCGAATTTTGTACTTAAATATTATCAAAATTCGAATTATATTCGAATTTAATATGCATAATTTCAGTTAGGGTGAAGAAAAGCATTTGGCTTCTCTCCTGAGGCCACAAGAGGGCGCATCAAGCAAAACATAAGATAACATGACTATCTGTGAAAAAAATGCATAATGTTTAAAATAATATTTATAAACTAATTATAATTAAGTTGCTTAAACAACTATAAACAAAACAGCATCATGTATGTATGCATAGTTTAATACAAAGGGCCGAAAGCCAATTACACAAAGAGTATATTTTTCATTTAAAAACACGAGTTGCAGTGGGATGGGGGAAAAAACCCTGCCATTAAGTCTCAAGATATGCTTTTTCAAAGTTGAACTTGCATTTATTTTACATGGCTTTCTAAACATGCGGCTCTTTTGTGCGAGACGCGAGTGCAACGGTGATAGATGTCCCTCTAGAAAATGAGTGAAATATGCTTTCTGTGTGAACGGCTTGGTTTCAGTTTTGACGTAAACAAGATCTTCTCCACCTTAATGTTCTCTTTTTCCGCAATATTTTGAATGAATAACGCAGCAGCGCCGCATCTAATGGCTTCAACTGGATAGGCTAACAAAAACATTATAATGCAAGGACAGTTACATCGTCATCGCATCTCGTGCGCCACTGATAAGGCTGCCTCCTTAACGCACATTTAAGATTGTGGATTTTTATTTTAAATTCGAGGAATATTCGAAATTCGAAAAAAAATGTTGACAGCCCTAATGTATATTACTATGAGAAGAAACAAAATTATTTGTGTGTGACGTTTGGGAATGTCCTTTTACTGTTTTTCACTGTAAATTATATGGTAATTCATAGTTTTTAATTGCAAAAAAAAACATCCATGCATCAGTATTTCACCAAAGCAAAAAAAATAAATAATACAAAAAAAAAAATAATAATATATATATATACATATATATATATATATATATACACACACACACACACACACACATACACACA